AACGAACAGATTACTGTCACAAACGCATACAGCATGACGATAAGACTACATACTGTGATTGTGCTGCAAGTCTCTGGCACCTATCCTAGCTACTAGTAGCAGTATCCAAAACACCAAGGCGTCAACTTCATGATAGATGTAGTTCAGTACGTTTTGCCGATCTGTTTGCATCAGAGTCGCACCGCCTTCACCATAGGCTTCACATATGATAACCAAGATAACTTAGACAAAAAGGGAAGAGGTGCGCATGAGGTGTTATTGTGATTGACTTGACGGTAGGCTTTTTCGATGGTCACGTCACACCTACTAAGTACCACTAAGCCCGTGTTGAACCACTGATGGAACTACTTAACCGATGCACATCCAAACTCACATACTTTTTGATCGAGGGCCCCTGGATTCATTTCACCTTCATATTTGACATCATGCGACAAATACTCGTTTTGGTCAATCTAATAGATCCGCTGTAACGCTCCTTGGGACATAAAAGCGCTGGACGGAGGAATTTTCTAGCACGATCACCCCCTTCATACGTCCCCCCAAGTTCACTGCTCGCTTACACTCGCCCTAGACCAGAATGACCCTAGTCTCGAATGAACCCAATCAGTGGAATATCATCAATGCTAATCGTACTGGCAGCTATTTTATGGGTTCGTGGAGTGCCAAGATGATGACGGTGATGTCTCGATCTTAACCTTGGCTACGATTTCACAGTTGCTGCCTCTGTTGGAGTGTTTTACGATTCGGGTGAGCAGGGTAGTCTTCAAGAATCCGCTGATTTGAATTTCTTATAGTATTTCCAGTATTGACATTTGCACAAGAGGTACCAGGTTGATCCCATCGGAGTAGCCATCTCGCTAAGAATGCTTTTTATAGATTGAACTGGTCTGGGTGAGCAGACTCCCACTTCAAAAGAACGACGTGATTAATTCGTGGCAGAGACAACGCTGGTCGTTGATGACCTTTATGTACCTCAGTGTAAGAAAACTTATGTTATGGTGTAATTGGCAAGTCTTGCTGATTTAAATTCTAGCTACGCTATATTGCAATAGTATGTGCTGTGTATGTGCGGAAGACTAAACAATCGACGTTGTGCTAATCAACCATCTCTCAATCAGCATTAGTATTCTGAGTATGTCTTCCCGTATTGCCGTGTTTGTTTCTTCTGATCGGCGGTATGTAGTAAGTCTTCCGACATTTCCGACAACGGGTACAGTGAGTATTCTACACCCATGCAATAACATTCCCCAGATTAATCAACTGTACTCCCACGTAGGGGTGAGTGATATTCTTGACCAACTCCCAAGTTCAACTTGATGACCGCCACAGTTGTAAGTGACTTTGCAGTGTGGTCTTCCGAGGCCGATCGCTAACTGGACTATTCAGGTTATATTATGTGCTTCGCGCTAAGCTGGATCACTGTGGTCGTACCTGCAATGCTTGGTGGTGAGTTACGCATTTGATGACATTGACTTGACTGAAACATCATGCAAGTCATTATGATCGCTCGGCTACATGCCATGTATCAGCGGTCCAGAAAGGTGCTGATATTTCTCGTCATCATTTTCCTGGTTGTCAACATCTCTGGCGTGGTAGTCACCGCCATACTGTGGAGGCAGATCTCAGTGGGTAAGCTTCAATTTATGAATGAAAGACTCAATTGTATCAGGCTCATTGACCAACTCTAGAGGAGGTTATTCTATCCGGCACATACCAGTGCACTGCTGATTTCGAGGGAGATGATATACTTCTGTGTGCCATATACTGGATACTCCTTACTATATGGGAGGTCCTCGCACTATGTCTCGCAGGTTGGATTGCTGCGAAACACTTCCGTGAACTGCGACGACATTCAACAAAAGGGATAATCGGAGATTGTTTCACAATCTTAATGAGATCTCACTTTGTTTACTTTGCGAGGTGAGTTGATGATCACAAGGCGAATGGAATTCTCTTTTCCCGCTGAAGTTCGCACACGCTAGCTTTGTTGCTGTTTCTTGCCTCTTGTTCGGTTGTTTGTCTCCGATGGTCTCAACAGTATGCCGATTTCTCATTGATCTCTACGTGCGAGCATGGTTCATTATTTTCATAGGTCCCATATTCCCAGGGAGCTCAGATTTATTTGGGCGTTCTTCAAATTGTTATGCTTGTGCAATTATTTGTGCTGGGACCACGCCTGATCCTTAGCATTCGAGAATATCACGCTGAGCTTGTGGCCAACTGCGATACAGCAACCGGCATGACTTCGATTGCGTTCCAGGAGCGCGTGCATGTGTCAACCAGTAGTAGTGTGTAGCAAGGCGAGACATGTCGAGTACTCTACAGGGGGCAACAGAACACGACTCTGTACGTTTCGTTGTGATACTATATAATTTGGTGTTTCGAAGTGGCATACCAGTGGTTCGAACTTTGCGGGACAGTGGCGATGTGGTAACACCTTACGATCTACCCGGTAAGCAAGCTGATTGATGTACCTGACTTCGTCACGAAGGTCCGCGAGAATCTTTCTCAGATCTCCACACTGCGCTGATCGGGTCTTTGCAGTTCTCAAACAATACCTCTTCCCCGAGAGTGATGCAACGGCATCGAAAAAGACGGCTTGCAGCTGTCTTGGATAGTCTGGCCGATTCTACTACAGTAAACAGGAAGTCAATGTCACAATCGCAAATATATGCCCGCTCGTTGTATGTCAAGTACCCTCTGTAAATCCGTGATATTCAGGTCGTTTCCCCTGTGCAGACCAAGGTTTCAAGGTATTGGCCCAGATACTATATCAAACTCATCATGGGCACGAACCGGTGTTGATGTCTGGAGTCACTGGTTGCCAGTACTGTGATAATTATGAGCGGAAAATACAACGGAAGCTCACTTTTTACTTGGGCATGATTTGTTAACGGATTACGATGTAGGTGTAGCGTCTTGTACCTCGGTCATTTTTGGCCTAAACTCTTCAACGCTGAAGTCACGGCCTTGCTTCTTCCGAACCCACCAATCGTCAATTCTGAGATGCAATTGTAAGGCTGGTTCGACCGGACTGTAGCTCTCACCCTAGTTGACAGAATCGTCTACGTGCGAAGAACAGCAGCATGTCCTCAGTTAAATAGAGGAAGGGGTAGATAGTGAGGTGACAACGTGGGCGTGGACAGAAGGTTTCACAGATAAAAGAGTCACCTTGCAAAACGCGTGGACATTAATCAGATGATGGTGTATAGAAATGCGAATTAATAATCGACAAGGATAAGCTACAGATACAGGCCTTCAGGAGTACCCTCGTTCTTCCTGTACAAAACCTACAACGGCTCAGCAATATCACCCGCAGTTCAAACGTTCAACTTACCTTTTCCCTTGCAGCAGTGAAGTCTGCTTTCGTCACCCGCATCCGACGTTCTCGCAAAGCCAGCATACCAGCCTCTGTGCAGACGGCCTTGATATCAGCACCAGAAAGATCATCCTTGGCCATGATGAACTCCTCCAGATCAACATCTTCGTTCAGGCTCATGCGTGACGTATGCAATCTGTAATTATCCAGTCACTGTTAAATTTGTAAGGGAAGAGGAAAGGCTTACCGGAAGATATGCCGCTTGGTCTTCACATCAGGCAGTGGGAATTCAATCTTTCGGTCTATACGACCTGGTCGTATAAGTGCGGGATCTAGCGTCTCAATCTTATTCGTGGCCATGATAACTTTGACGTCGCCGCGAGTATCGAAGCCATCAAGCTGGTTGAGTAGTTCCAACATTGTTCTTTGAATTTCACGTTCGCCACCTGATGTTGAATCATACCTTCAAAGATATCAACGTCAATATTTGTGAATGAAAAGTAAAACACGCCGTTTACCGTTTGGTACCTATAGCATCGATCTCGTCAATGAAGACAATACTTGGGGCATGTTCTTCAGCTACGCGGAAGAGTTCGCGAACAAGCTTCGGACCATCACCAAGATACTTCTGAATAAGCTCAGAACCGACCACGCGCAAGAATGTTGCGGACGTTTGGTTTGCGACTGCCTTGGCAAGGAGGGTCTTTCCTGTTCCGGGAACCCCGTAAAGGATGACACCCTTCGGCGGCTTGATTCCCATCTCCTCGTATAACTCCGGATGTGTTAGCGGGAGTTCGACGGATTCCTGGGTTAAGGAAGAGAAACGTCACAAGATAACCCCGACAATAAAGGAGGAAATTACCTTGATTTCTTGGATCTGGTTCTCAAGACCACCGATATCGGCGTAGCTTTCCGTGGGAGCCTTGTCTAACTTCATGACACTGACTAGAGGATCGGTATCGTCCTCCAGTACGCCGACTACCGCCTGGTTCTTGTGATTTAGTAGGACTGAACACCCAGGCTCGATCCTGTCCTTGTCAACGAAACTCATGATCGAAACGTATGACTCCGGGCCACTTGCGGTGCTGATGATTGCGTGGTCATCATCAACGATCTCCTCTAGCGTGCCCACCATCATCGGCGTCCCCCTAATATCATCCACCTTAGACCTTTCATCTTGATTCTTCTCCTCACGAGATGATTCGGGCTTCATGCGCTCTTGGTTGTGAATGAATTCCTCTTCCAGGAGCAGGTAGTCTTTAATGCGGTCCATCTTAAGTAGACGAAGTCTACACCGTGTAGCAGGGAAGACGGGGGGTAGTTTAGAGGCAGTAGCTGGTCCACGTCTTTTCTTCTTGCCAACACGAGTCGGCAGAGGCGGCTCCCATTTCTTCTTTGGCGGCTCGGCTTTTTTATCCTTATTATCCTTATTATCCTGTCCCTGAGGTTGGCTAGGAGGCATGCCTGATGGTGCGTTTCCCTGTAAGACAGTCAGATAAATGTGAAAGACCGCAGCTGGCCACAAACCATGTTGCTGAAGTACGATGGTACAGGTGCGTAATATGTTACAAGAACTGCTCGACGCGTCAGTCCATCCAAAACAGGCGCGGGAAAATGATTCCTTATATGGATTACCGTGCCAACGTCTGCGCCCAAGCGTCATAACCACTACTGCCCAGTGCCCATACTTACATTTGCAACGTAAAGCTAACCATGAGCCATTCTCCCTTGACTTCTACTTCGCGATTCATAGAAGCAGGTGGGTTTTAGATTTGTACGACGTTCGTAGTCATTCGAACAGGAAGTCATACAGACGACGATGACGATGACGACGACCTAGACGAGCAAGACATCCCCGGGTTCTCAGCACCATCACCAGCCGTAGACAAGGGAAAATCAAGGGAACCAGAACAGTTAGCCAAGCCTTCGGCAGCTCCCGCTTTGAATCAGAACATGACCGGCAACATTGGTTCCAATGGCTCGTCTAGCAGTTCCAATAGGCAAACCGTCGGCGGCATTCGAGTCGAGACTCGGTAAGCCTTGCATACATATTTGCAACACCTGCACAAACATTCTTTAGGTATTCTGGAGCGGACACTCTTGATGAGCCTGTCACCACCACAATCGTCAGTGCAGCCACCCTTACTCCGTCGTACGAGCTGACCCCATGCCCAGGCACGCGACTTGTTTTCGATATACTCGAAGTTAGTGCATGTTCTTTACCCTCGTAAGTCTGGTGGACGCGAAGTCCTCAGGTTTGTGGCGCCTGGCACTCTAGTCGGGCCCGTTTGTTGATATCGTCTTTGCAGAGACTGGGATCTTTGGGGTCCGTTGTTGCTTTGTCTATGCCTAGGCATCATCTTGAGCGTGAATGTACGTCCTTTATTTGTTGTACGTACAAGGAGCTACATGCTGTCCACGACCACAGGCACCATCCAACCAATCGCTAGGGGTATTCACTTCCGTGGTTGTGATCGTGTCCGTTGGCTCCCTTGTCGTGACCGTCCAGGCTAAGGTGGGACACACTCATCGCCGCTTATGCAATAACACTAATAATGGTCCTAGCTTCTTGGTGGCAGAGTGTAAGCAGCGCATTTTGGCCTTCCTGATTTCATTTCCGGCTATGATACTTACGCTCCAATGACTAGATCCTTCTTTCAAGGGCTCTGTGCACTTGGCTACTGCATAGCGCCGTTAGATATCGCTGCACTTATCTCATGCTTCGTGCGTGTCATCTGGGTGCGTGCGCCCGTGGCCCTGGCTGCCTGGGCTTGGTGCATATGGGGTATGCTCGGCCCACTTCAACTCATCCAATCACTGACTCTCAATTTGGCTCTAGCATCCATCAACTTCTTGGACGGCACAAAAATTGAACCACAGCGCATCTTGCTTGCTGTATACCCACTCCTGTGAGTCATATCTGAAGTCTATTGAGCTGCGGGAATAATGGTATTCTCGTGTTGTAGACTTTTCTACTTTGTCCTGGCGTGGATGATACTTATCCAATGATTCAAAGAGCTGCTTCTGTGGTAACATGCTTGTACCAAATTTCTTGGCTCAATGACATGATACTTACTACGTAGCATGCGCCCCGATGTGAAAAGAGCGAATACCCACCAACTTTGCTTTGCAAGGGGACGAGGTTTGAAAGATACAACGCTTTCCAAAACTGACTCGTCCAGACACACATACCAGAACATATCTGTCCCCCTTCTCTCTCCTTGAAGCAGAAAATATCATTCTCGACTCGCAAGACATGCAAGGCTACTCGGTCTCCCGTCGCACAAACGACAAGACTGAGACGGCATTGTGCGCATGCACGAACTTTTATATGCGTGACATTACGACTGGACATTCAGAATCAGTGGCTGCATGTTTGGCGGTATTACATATCTGACTAATCGAAGTCGTGATAAAGATTATGATGTAATGAGAACAATTTTCGGCCTCCTAAAGTTTTCGTCATCTAGAACCACGACGATGGCGAATGTTGAGTTCTTGTCGCTTCCTGCAGAGCTAATATGTTACATCTTGTTTTTACTCACTCCAAGGGACCTTTGTTGTTGTGCAATAGCAGTCCGCTATTTATTATTGTTCCAAGGTTCCCCCTGGGCTAACTTCCATTGATGCCAGACCTGCAAAGCCCTTAGGGATGCGGCCCAAAATTCTATGCAAATTCAACACAAGCTTGAGCTTTTTGCTCAGGGCTTTACCGAGACCATGACCCGGGACTCGATCGACTTTTTTAAAGAGAACAGTTCATTGAAGAAATCAGCATTCATGTCGCAGTCTGATTTCCATGTGAACACCATTTTTCAAGAAGCAGCGCCCACTGTGCATGCCGCTACCCAAGAGACACAATCTATGAAGTGTGGGCTTTGGTGTATGTCCAGAGATAGCGATCTCTTGACTCAGGAGTGCAGCTCAAATGCTACCCGGACGTGGCCCAACCACAGCTTATCTCCCATGCCGCAGCATGACTTGGCGGCAGTCATCGTCGACCCTTTGCAGGATCTTGTGGTTACAATCTCATTGCCTGATTCCATCGATGTGCACAATTCCGTTCAGGCTCAGCACAGTTTTTTGGCTGAAGATCCGCATGCTATCGTCGCAGGCTCCGCATCCGGATTCAGCGTGCACTTCCTTGGACTGCAAACATCATTTTAATGCACGCGGCACCCACCATGTCGTGCTTATGAAAGAACCTGCAATCTGCGGGGATCGTATAATTGTCCCCTATTGTACATACACAAGCAATATATGGACGAAGCTAATGTTCATACAAGTGGTGGATTGGAGGAATGGGCAGGCAGCATGTGTAAGTCCCGTTATTGAAAATTTTTACCACTCTTAGCATCAGCAGCATTCTATAGGCCACGAAGAAAGGCATCATCAGCTCATTTTCCATCCCATAGACCAACGGACACTTGTTGTCATCGACTTGGAAGCTTCTATAACCGTGTATACGTTGCAAGAATTTGGCGGGCCTCCTCGACGCCGAATCGTCTACTGCTTTCCGGTGTACAACTCTGCACGTTGTCCATCATGTGTTGTTCACACCACTCCAGTACTTCAAGGCACAGCAGCTCGCCCAGACCTTATGCCCAGCTGCGCGCCGTCTCTAGAGTTCCAAATTATGGTCTTGGAGATGCTCCTTCCCGTATTACCCGTTATTTTGGTCATCGATATGGCCATTTTCTCTGAAAAAGCCCTGCATTCAGAGACGCTTAACACGATTCCCTGGTCGGACTGGGGACCACAGCATACGTGCTGCTTTCCGCACGACCCAAGCCACCGAATCAGCGTTTTCGGTAGCAAAATGGCCTATGCTCTTCCTCGATATCGGACCCCCACTCCTGGGCATAGACTGGAAGCACTATCTGCCGATGGTCGCTTCTACGTGCACATATGGGACTTCAATCGAAGAGCCGTTGCCCGTTCCAAAAGCATCTCCAATTCCGACTCACCAGACCATCTGATCCGCAAGTCTGCTCGGCTAGCTCACATGTGCTACAATAGCGACTTTAGCTCAAACCATTCTTACACTGCTACCGTCTGCCATGAATCTTTTCCGACGCGTGATTTTAAGGGTTTATTCTTGGAACGGGAGAGGTTTGCCTTAACATGGGTGAGATACTCTTAGTTGTGACATACATCGTTTAACACGGTTTTACTTAGGTTCGACCTGACGCGGTTGATATTCAGGTCGTTTCACCCGTACTACTAGAAACGAAGGATTTTAGCTGTTGGCTCAGAGACCATATGAAACTCATCAAGGATTTTTGGGATCGGCGGACATTGTGGTATCATCCCTTACTCCTGATAATCATGATGAGAGATTACGCCCTCGCCGACTCCTAGTGCGTATGGGTAAGGTGTTCGTAGTACTTCGTCAATGCAGCCACCAGTGATGGCCAGGTTTCAAAAATTCACATTCAAGTTGGTTGTAATCACAAACTGATTTTGATGCTCGGGTCGTTCCCGGGCCTATACAGACGGCTACACACGGAGGTTGGCCGTTGGCTCAGACTCCAGAGCCTCATACCATCTGGCTCAACTGCAATGCATGCGTTACTGCCCACCAGACGATTTGTCATCAATGTCACACGTGATGAATTTTACTGCAAGCGCAGCACTGGCAGCAAGTCCGAGTCACTCAAGTTTTCAATTGCTTTTTACTGACAATTTCCAGAGCTTCGAAGTCGCTTGTTCGCCTTTTCTTTCTGCCGTCAATTTCCCCGCGCTCAGACGCCCTACTTTTTCTAAAACCACAGCCCACGGTGATAGCTATTGGATCCATGTCGCCGCTTTCCACAGAATTGATATGTCGCATCCGATTCCTAACCCTCACGCCAGACGTGTCATTCGCCATTGACGGTCGCTTGACTCGCTTCTACGTGCACATGTGAGACTTCAATAAGCGAGTTATTACTCGATCTGAAAATATCCACGATCCCGACTCATGAGTTTGTGGCGGCCATGTTCGGGTGGAGTATCATCCCGAATCATCTTTACACTGCAATCGTCTGTCATGTGCTCCCCTCGGGTTTCAAACGTGCTTTTGGAACAGGACCGTGCCACAATAGCATAGGCAGGTGTTCTTAATTTGTATTAGCTGTGAGTACAGCAATGTGATGCGGTCACACTGTAGTCGCAACCCGACGCTGCTGATATTTAGGTCATTTCTCCTATACATACAGAGGTTGGCTTCGGACTAGAAATGATTTCTGCTTCGGCGGGCGCCGATGATTACGAGGAACTCAACCAATTATACCCCAGGCTGGCCACTGTATTTTGAGTGATGTGAGTTTCTGGATGGTCTGCATTCGGTTTCTCCAGACCATCCTTGACCGTATGTACGAGATGCTTCTCTTATACATACGGAGGTTGGGTCGGACCTCACGGTCTAAAAAGGATCTCGGCTTCGGCGTGATGATAATCAGGAACACGACCAATCATGCCCGAGGCTCTCGTGTCAATCGGTCCAAAATTATCGCAGACAGTTCGATGATCCAATATGTAAGCATGTTGCTTGGAAATAGGTCCAAGGGCCAACACAGTATACGTACTGGTGTACTGTGTAGCGAGGCCAGATTATTATCGTCAGAAATAAAACAGGCCAGCTTGCTATGCCCGACCAGGTACATGGATTCCTGGGTATGTAATAATGTCAATGTCTTATGTAGACATGTCGAAAGTTGACAGTTCGTGGTTTGACGTTAACTGACTTCGGTGATGCTGTGATCAACCCTATTCTTCGAAATTATACAGGTCCTACAGCATGCACAGGTTCAGCAGATGCTGAAGACCTCACCATACATAATAAGTCCATTGATATTTTCGCTTTTTTTCTTGTAAATGAGCTACAGAGCATTATAGCTAGTATGCACTTGCATGATGTATCCATCAGAGCCAAGGAGGTTTCCGAGGTCTTTTCGTGCTGGTACCTAGTTTTCGCCACGGCTTGGCAGCCGGAGTGCCATCGCACACTTTCTTGCCGACCTGAGTTTTCTTTTTTATGTAAATTTAGGTTTTTACAAAGTTCAAACGGCTGTAATCACGGGGACTTTACATAATAGGCCATAAGCTCCCGGCTCAGCAGTCCCCCTGCAGCGCTCATTCTTCCTCCCGTGACTAACGCGTGAAACTCGAGAGCATGGCATATGCGTTGATGAGTCTGCCGTGAGGTCACCTTTCCAAGCCACCAGCTTCAGTGACTCTCTTGGTTCGGTCTCTTATTCATGCTAGTGGCAGGTAGTAACGTAGCTGGTCTATGGTTCACATTTATATACACTCTACAGGCGCTGGTACGGATCAATCAGGTACTATATTTTCAAAGTTTAGAATACAAAAATACTCGAATCAAGACCGCCAACATGCAGTGCTCATGCGCGAGTGGCCATTTTCCTAGAAAGGGTCCTCAACCGCTCAGCATTAACTTTCCTTCGCACAGTATCAGTATCCACACTCGCGTTACTCTTCATCACGCTCGCACTCGTCCTTGGCGCAACCGTGTACGTGCCAATGTCCTTTTGCGGGATCATAACGGCGTTCTTCCGGATGCGATTCTTTTCTCCCTCCTTTGCACGTGCTAAAATAGCGTTGAGACGTTCGTTTGTGCGTTCTGTGCCGTCCTCCTCTGCAATCGGAACGACACGATCACGGTATGAAGCGCTGCGCTTGATGATGGGGCGTGACCAGGTGGATACGAGTTCGTTGGCAAGGCGCTGTACGTCAGATGTAACGCGTTTGCATTTGGTGTAAAATAACACGACGCGTCCTAGGCCAGATTCTTTGAGTACGGCACTGTCGATAAATTCCATGCGTTTTAAAATTGGAAAAAAGTCACGCTGGATATTGAGGGCCGGGAGAGAGCGATCTGGGAGCGGTTCTAGCCAGCGACGGACACCTTCCAACAGGTTATTGTCCATTATAGATTGTGACAGTGATTGCCTGGGGGATATTATTAGCATTCGGATGAAACAAGAACAAAGGGGTGACTGCGCACTTGCGGAGAACCTCCATTACTTGAGGAAGAAGTTTCAATTTGTTGGTAGCGGGGAGCTTATCGCGGTTAGCTTGTTCGTCATCAGCTGCGGCACCAAGCATGGCCTCCCTGAGACGAGATACTTCCTCGTCCGCGAACCGGTCTAGAATCTCCTCGTCATCTTTTTTTGGCTTCTTCTGCCGATTTGCCTTTTTTGGCTTGAGAATAGCATCGAACTGCATGTCTAACCGAAGTTTGTTTGCTGGTGGAACGGTTGGTCAGGGCCGGTAAATTCAGTTCTGGGACGAACCTTTCTCAGGGGGAAGTTCGTTAAGGTCTTCCTCAGTGAGCGGTTGTTTTCGCTTGCGTTTCTTCTGTACCCTGCGAGGTTCATCGTCCTCGCGACGTTTGACGCGACGTTTGGGTTTGGCCTGCACATAAGCATCGCTGGATTCTCCAGATGAGCCAAATGTATCTTCTTCGACGGGACGGCGTTGCTGCTGTCTCTGACGCTGCTGTGGGACATCTGTGAGAGAATGAAAAGCGGTGAGCTGAAGATAATGTGAGAAGGGAGAGAAGAACGTGCCATCTTCCTCTGAAGATAGCTCAGAGCCATCACCAAAGATGTCGCGCTCGAGATTTTCGCCTTCCTGGTTTGAGTTAGCAGCGTTATTGTATGATTTGTTTGAAATAAAAACCTACTCCTGCTGCTGTTGCTGCTGCTGGTGGCATTAGGGACAATGATGAGCGTAATTAAGGCAGTGAGTAGAGCAAACAAGGGTAAAGTGGAGCTACGGATTATTACATAATATGACAGGGACCCTGAGCTGAGGGACCACGCCTAATTTGTTTGTACCCCTTCCAATTACCAACTTAAAGTGACCATGATTCATCACCACTGAAATTTGGCAACTGTCGATCCCCCCTACCACTCAACCAAAAAAATTATTGATGACCCATGCTCCTTCCCTTCCTTGCCATGGATCCATACACTGAGCGCACTCCATCACTCACTAACTCTGGTTCTTCAAGCTCTAGCACTTCAAGTGATCTCATTTCGCCGGTACTCCCAGACAGAGACAGGGCTCTTCCTTCAATACCCCGTGAATTGTCTCGAAAATCATACCACATACCTCCAATTGGGGAAAGTCCTGCATCCCCAAATAACTCACTGAGGTCGGCCAGAAGGCCTAGCCTCGTTCACCGTCCACCGCAGCGTGCTTCATCCTTGGCCAAATCGTTGGCATGGAGGAGAATGCACCGTGCGGCCGTCCGTACCCTCAAACAGCCACATATTCTTGCGCGCCTATTACAGTTCATACCATGGACTGATTTTTACGTCCTGTTATCAACTTGCGCCGATATGAGGCATCTCTGGGATACTCGTGATTTCAGGGATGTCATACTATCCCATTTTGTCCCGGGCTACGGCTACGCTCTCAGGCATCGTGACTTCTCCAAGTATCAAGACTTGGACATATCCCTTCAAGACCTGGACCTCTTGCGTTGGTTCTTTTGTTCGGTTTACATTCTGACGCTAACGTCACTACGCACATTGCTAATTTTAGTTATCTCGCAACGGGTTCCCCCTCATCAATACCCTGTTCACGCACTCAGGAGCATATCGAGCCTACCACCCAGCCGAGATTATGACGCAACTGCCGCGAAATTAACCCATAAACTCGCCATTCTCTGTCTCACACACTCACGATTCGTACTGCTTCTTCAGTCCTTCGTCCATAGTTCTCCTCTCCCCCTACCAATCGATGATGACTCCCATTTCCAACCACCACGGTTCTCCTCAGTATCCCCCACATTGCCTCATGGCCTCCGCGAGCTCACATTTCCTGCTCCTCTGTCATTTGTATCTGACTCATCCGAAAAGGCTCCGCCTAGCGCCCATTCTTCAGGTTCTGGATCAGAATGGAGGGCGTCCGCCAGTCATCCTCGTGACCGAGCAAATAATAGTCAGTTATCGCCTGATCCCATGCCAAGGAGCCGAGACCCTTCAAAATCCAGGACTTCTCCTGACTTTAATACGTCAATCAATCAACGTAGACAGAGGAAGCTTTCCATATTTGGAGCGAGAAACCCTCCGCCCCCTCCGCTCTCGGAGCCCCGGTCTCTCAAATACTACGATGCCAGATGGCGGCGCACCATCACTGGCACGCCATCCCAAGCGCCTGCGCCCATGGGCACGTATGCAGATAATCGGAATTTCATGTCAGCAGATGACATCAGAAAGTCGGTAGCGCATTCCCACCGACGCACAGGATCCAGTGGGATGTCCAGTGCTTCATCTTCGGCTAGTGGCAGTCCATCCCCACCATTCTCTCGCAAAGCGACACAAGACGCTTTTGGCGTTTCCACTGGCTCCCCACACGAACTTCACACGGCAACTTCACGAACCAGGGCACCCGTGCTGCGCGTATTCGTACCTTGCACAGACCTCATCCCTGCATCAATCTCATCATGCGAACAACAGCTAATCGACAACGGCCTCTGGGAACACCTTTCAACTGGGGATATCGTGTGCAACTTCGGTTACGTCCCTGCAACTCCCGAATCGGACGAGATGTCATCATCACAAGAGTCCGACAGAAGCGCGGTACGCAAATCATGGCTGCTTTACAACGGCTACTCGCTTGTTCCGTTCATCCCTCCTGCGTCCCCGCCTGTTGATGACCCCCTCAGCCTTCCATCACCGCTGTACTATTCACATATCATGCCTTCGCATGTTCATCCCCTATTCGCGTTTGCACCTCCAGGTGGCGGTGGCGTCCCTGAGCTCAACCTAGTACAAACAACAGAGCGTGTCCGGTCGCCACAGTCCCGCGGAGGATGGGCCGCAGCGAAGAAGCACATGTGGATCGCGCGTGCACGTGTCGGGATGGGCTTCGTTGATGTCGACGATGGACTCGGCGAAGGGTGGCGAGGTGAATGGGTCCTCGAGACGGAAGGCACGCGCGAGGGGCGACAAACGCTTGTAGATTGTCTGTCTGGGGACGCAGGCGAGGTTTTCGTGTGGGAGTTTGTGAGGGAAAAGAGCGGTGGTGGGCGAATATGGCTCAAGTGAGTATCATTCTATTATTTGGATAGGTAGGAGTGCTGATTTTATTGTTCTAGACTTGTAAGACCGCTACAACCTCTCTCGGACTCGTTAATGGACCTTCATATGTTACGATCTTGAGGACTTTTATTGCTGTTTAGAGAACATGACTTGTACTGCATTCGCCATTTACATCATTCCTACGCCGGACGCTGCATTAATATTGGCTCCATTTCTGCATACTGACTTTTTTCACGGCGCTCATTGGTTGGATATTTATCGACTATATGTAACTGTCATGGATCAGCGCTGCGCTACCCCCGTTTATCTACGTACCATAGTACCGACCACACACTCTCAAATTTTCTATGCTGCGGAACGTTTTTCAATTAGGACTCGGACCGTGTTTGCATGCATGTGTTATAATTACCGCTCATCTGTAATTTGAACTTCATCAGGTGTTTCAATCGTGGCCTTCTTCTCTACAGATACGATAAGTATCAAGGAATTAACCAATCAAGATCGTCGTAAAGATTGTTCACGTGTCAAACGAGCGTCACGACGTCCAGGTTTATGAATTGGTCCCGCTTGATAGCTCCTTCAGGTGGGGCCACCACGCCGGCTTGTTGTAGGACACTAGACGCTGCTTAGCACGAAGAATAAACCGGAACGCGGGGAAATGACGCGTACCCCAACGTGTCGGTGATGACGTTCCACGGTATCGTTGAGCAGTCTTCAGGGTACTCCACAGCATCGAGCCACTCCTTTACAAATAAACGCACCGTCAGCACTTCCTAGATCGCCCGAAGAAGTACGTGATAAGATAATATCACCTTGACGTCCTGTTTCAGGATACCCAAAGGTGTCCATCACAAACTTTACGCTCGGTCCTGCTCGGGCCTCTGCAGACGCAAACGCACGAACGTGGCGCGAGAGATTGGTCGAGGAACGTGCGTACTGCAACTGGTTCTCCACGTGTCGGGTGCGCTGCAATGAGCCACGAGGGCCATGGCGTTGGGACTTGACCAATCTAAATCCGAGGAATTGAAATGGAACTGGTCAGTATAGTATAATACCACCGGTGCCATACAACGCACGAATCGACACTCCCCCGCATCAGCAAATGGCTTCGTTGTGAACCATTCCCACATGAATGCGCTTGTTGTCCCGTCGTTCACGGAGTTAATGAGGCCACGAATGTCGTTATTGACTGCGCGTCGGCTTTTGGGTGAGTCATGCCGATGAAGAATGGAGGACGGATCAGATACGCACCTTGGAACTTGAGCTCATTTGTAGGCCAGCGCTGTTGCAACGCCATGACGTACGCCATCGTCTGACTCCCGCTACGTCACCAATCCCGATATATGGATTATGGACTCGTGGTAGAAGCGTGTAATTTTGAATGAGAGGCTCACCTGCCATTTCTTGAAATACCGATTGTGCTGCCTTGGAGATCGGAGATTTGATTGTATGCAGAAGGTTTGTGGCCCGTGATGACCGCCCTACGTCGACAATGATGATTATGCGTTCATTTATAAGTCAATCGGTGGACGTGAGAAATGGACCCGGGCGTACCAGCGGAGTGGTGACGTGACATAACTCCCTACGAGCTTGTACGCCTCGGAGCCCTTTGCGATCCCTGCGATCAAGGGATCTGTGAGAGCTCTGTTTCGTTATTGGACGATAAGAAATGTTATTTTAAAGATCAGCCGAGGCGTACATTGCGATATCGATTTCATCCTTTGTGAGTCGGGAGATCAGTTGGCCTGTGCCACCTGTGTCGGATGTTTGTTTCAGTATCGTAAGAGAAGAGTGGATTGAGGAACGTACTGGGGCACTCGACGAGAGTAAACGTCGAGCCCTTATCTTCTGCTTCGAACTGCAGAAGAGGAGAACAGAAGTGTTCTCGGACTAGTTTATTTGGTGTCAGATGTCATTTTCTTTTAGCGGTTTGAGTAGACAGCACCATATCCGATCCTTAGAACCATGATAAGTATTAAGAGTACAGGACAAGTCGTTTCCGAGTTTTCCGACCTCGATCGGACTTCTAATCTGGGATATTGGCCCCTATCACATGAGCGGTGCTGTGGTACATAAGCTAAATAACAGGCGTTATGCCGTGACTCGTCGAAACGAGATCCTTGCTATCTTCCATAAAGTGCAGACATGCCAAACCACCAACTGGGATCACTTGAGATTATGGTCATACTATTAGAGGATGTGGGTGAGTGAGCGGCGAACTTGGTGGTCGTATGACGATGGCATTCGTGTCAGATATACCACCTTTTATCGCTGAAATGAGTACCGTATTTGTCCGTTGATTGCACTGAAATAAGGGCCCATTTGTGCCATGATGATAAGGGGAGCCTGGAGAAGCAATAATTTACACAACCACGCACTAGAAGTTGGAAGGTTCGAACCCAAAAAAAATGAACATCCTGATTTCGGCGACTAGCTTGTTTCCATTGCCGTTCATCCCGGCTCGTTTGTGTACCACTGGATCTTCGTAGACTCGTGACCAGCCCCCGGTTTGCCTCATAGAGGGGCTGGTCACGAGTCTAGGATCTTCGATCATGAAAAGCCATACCTTCCCGTGTCTACTGCGGGCAAGGTCCGGCTTCAGGCCGTGGGCCGAGCCGAGCCTGCTTACAGCCACTTGTAAAGGCCAGTCCCAGATGGAGCACGTCTCACATCAGGACATTCGTGACTCCAGAGATGCGACAGGGCACCGGGGCCCTTAGACTAGCAAGTACTGTCCTACACTCTCAATGGACACAAATGGATACAGTAAAAAAAAAAAAAGGCCAGTCCCAAAAAAAGAAAACGTAAGTCGGAAAGAAGTCCGAGTCATACCACGAACTTTAACTCACGATCGGCATCAACCTACCACTATAGGACGTTACGACTGTTTGCAAAACGCTAGGCCAATCCCCCAAGAGAAACATGAGTAGGCAAGAAGTCAAACCGGCGAACTCTCAACTTCTGACAGTCATGTTCCGGAACTTCCTACCATGGGATGTTACAGGACGTTGCACAGAAATTTGTGGAATCTGACCGGACATTGTAATTCAAACAATGCTGTCCTAATTTATTTTTGACGATTGGCCTTAAGCGCAGGACGTTCGTCACGTTACATACGTGATATCTGATCGAACATTACAATTCACACAAGGCGGCCGTCCGAGTCCTGTTTTATTTTTGATGACTGGCCTTGAGCATTCTGCAAACGGCTAAAGGCCCAGCACTCAGTGCGTAACCCCGGAGCAGCTAGGCCTAACGGCTGGGGGTGCTGACAGGGTCCACAGGCGTCACTTGAGTGGTCGAGTACTTCTCTGAGGTCCTGGAAACAACCATCTTTCAGAGATGGCATCAGGAGCGAACAGACTTCCACCAGCGTTACGATCTTGACAGCACTACTGAGATCGAGCGCGTGAACCTCAGCGTCGGGGAGAGATCTCTACTCATAGTTCGCCAAAAGCTCTTGTATGACCTATATCTACTTCGCAACTTACATAAATAAGTACCACGACAAAACCAGTGAAATAAATAGGAACAAATTCTCCCGCTCCCTGCACAGTACCCGCCTATCGCACTGAATCAGTCATATCGAGCATCTCCTGTGCTACACACTACTGTTAGTTGACACATGGACATGCTCCTGTAAAGCAATTGAAGTCATAGCATTTGCTGTACCACAGGTTGGCCACGAGCTCAGCGTAATATTCTCGAACACTGAGGATCAGGCGTGGTCCCAGCACAAACAGCTGCACCAACTGGAATATCTGAGTGAGACCAAGATAAATCTGAGTGTCCAAGGAGTACAGGTCCTATAAAAATGATGAATCATGGTCCCATGCGGAGATCGGTGACAACTCGACATACCGCTGAGAGTGTCGGAGAGAACAAACCGATCTGGAAGCAAGAGACAGCCAAATAACTAGCACATGCAAAATTTCAGCGGAACAAGATAACCACACTCATGTTATGAGCTCACCTTGCAAAGTAGCTAACGTGAGTTTGCATTAACACCGTGAAACAATCCCCGATAATACCTCTTGTTGAGTGTCGTCGCAGTTCACGGAAGTGTTTTACAGCAATCCACACCGCGAGACATAGTGCAACGACCTCCCATACAGTCCCAAGTATCCAAGTTATGGAATTCGAAATTTGGACTCCTCCAGCATAGGAAATCATGCACTGATAGGTGCCGGAAAGAACTAATTCCTCTGGTATTTTTCAATGAGCCTGATGCACTTAAACATTTCATACATAATTAAAGCTTACCCCCTGAAATATGTATCGCCGTTATTACGCCGATCACTGTGTTGGCGATTGTGATGGCCAGAAAGATGCCAACGAGAGATACCAGCACCTTTCTGGATCGCTCATACATGGCATATAACCGAGCGATCATGATGACTTGCATGATGTTTCAGTCAAGCCAATATCACGGAGGTGTATAGCTCACCGCCCAGCATTGCCTCTAGAACGTAACCCGTCCAATTATATACGTCGTATACGACAAGGCCTGACAAATACAGCAACAATAGTTGTCAACTTCGGAAGATCACAGGCTCGAAACAAACTTACAACTATGGGAGTTGTTATGTTGAATTAACGAGTTGCCCGAGAATCTCACTCACCCCTGCATGGCAGTTCAGTTGTTTGGACGGGAATGGAAGGCATGAGTGTGGAATACTCACTGTATCTGTCATAGAAATAGTTGGAACATCGCCTGTATGCCGCCCATCATAAGAAAGAAACAGAGTCTATGCGAGGATACATACCCAGTGTGTACATCCTGATTGTGAGAGATGGGTAATGAGCGCAACATCAATGGCTTAAACTTCCAAACGTACACAACATATGCTATTCCAGTATAGCGCACCTAGGATATTTTGAAGCCAGTAAAATATGTACTCGCTAAGTGCAATTTGAACACAAGGTACGTACAATGAGATAGAGAAAGGTCATCAGGGACCAGCGTTGCCGCTGCCGCGAACAAGTTGTATTTTCACTTCGTTCTTTGATGTAGGAGTCCACTCACCCAGATCAGTTCAACCTATAACACAATTCTAAGCGAGTTGGCTGCCCCAGTAATGCATCGACGTACTTCTTGTCCAAACGTAAGCGCTGAGAATACCATAAGGATATCAGTGGTCATTTCATACTTAGTCTTGCTCACCCCAATCGTACATTGCCCCGACAGAGGCAGCAACTGCAAAAACCGCAGCCAAGGTTAATCGAGTCGTCATATGGCTGACTCTCCACGAACCCGCAAAATAGCTGTAAATAAGGGCCGCGTTGATGAATGGCCACCAAATGGGATCATTCGAGACTACAGTCATACTAAATATTAGAAGATGAGAGTGAGCGAGTGGGGGAACTTGATTGACGTATAACGATCGCATTCGTGCTTGATATACCACAATCCAGCGCTTAGATTGCCAAAGTGAGATTTCAAATTTGAGGGATAAATGATTCAGCATGAATTCCATTAGAGAGACACTAGTGTGCATCCAGGGATACCGATGGGATCAAGGCACAAGTCGTTGGTGAGATCCCAGAGCAGCGAAACGCCGCAAAAGATCGGAGAACTCCTCGTGATTTCGCCAGTGCGATCATCGAAGTATTCTTTTGGTAATTGGTATTCTTGGTACAGTCAAGTGAGGGGTTCGACCTCGGCCCATCTATGACATTAAAACGGCGCCCAAGTTGACTGGTAACCTCACAGCAGATATTGCCAATTACGACGTGAACGGGGTCCACAACCTTTCTTCTAATTCATGTACACGCTGATCAGTATAGATGCGACCAAAGTACATACATGAGTCGTATCCAATTCCCTGTCATAAAACACGATCAATATGTGTAGCGACGAGGGCAGTCATGCAAAGAAAGTGGGAAGTTGTACAAAGAACTTGAAAGAAGAGGGGAAAGGCACGGTCGTCCAAAAGAGGAAGGGGTCACTGTTGTACAACGAAAGAACGATCAAGTGAGGTGAACAGGAACGGTGGCAGTAGAAATGAAAGCGACGACTGCCGGTGATCGTGCACGCTTTGAATGTGAAGTTGATGGATGTGTTATGGCTCCAGTTTGGTGGTTCATATGTAAGAAATGGCGTGATCGGATGGATGCAATGGTGAATAGATAGATGAAGGTCGTTGACAAGCTTGAGGAACGAACAGCTGGTTGGGAGAGGCAGAATCATACAGTTCATATTTTCCTCCATCCGTAAAAAAAAAACACCGTCCCAAAGAGATGCAGTGATCGATATATTGATGACATCGAGAAATCGTAAAATAGGGAATGTGAACTGCGCGTTCCATGGGATGAGCGAGAGTGACAGTAACCGCTTAAGAGGAGAACGGATGAGAGTGTGGGCGTCCTAAGAAAGAAAGAAAGAAATATCATATACAAGGTGAGGGACATTCAAGATATACCTCTGACGATTGGACAACGAAAAAGACCAGTCAGCTGGAGCGAAGACATATGCATGGGTGGGGATGAGATAGGCGGAAGTAGTTCAAAGTGTGGTGTGGAGGCGAACAAGATGAACAGAAAAAAAAACTCGGAAACAAAGTACTGAAACCAGATCAATTTTCAAAAAGACGACATGAAGAGAAGATTTGAAAATATGAGACGTAAATGTACATGCTATGAGAAGGAGTTTGTAGAGTAGAAGAAAAGAAAGAATGGTCTGATAACTGAAGGAATATGATATGTGGAGCAGAGAGATCAACGGGAGTGCCGAACGTCGATTTGGAGTGGAAGAACTTTGAATATGGCTCTGTAATGCATTGAGCATTGAGAAATCAGGTACCGAGGGAGTATGTGAACGTCCTGGGGGACGACGCAAGTGAGTGGGGTGCTGGTGCAGATGGTATCCTCGGAGTCCGCCTGATTTCAAATTATCAGCGGCAGGACGCACAATCTTGTCACGAAGGTTTGGAGGTGGCATAAAACTATTGAAAGGGCTGAAAAAGATGAGAACCGGTAGCGCGTCCAAGGTCCGCGCATTTTCAGTCAATCACTGTAATTTATCGCATGCTGCTGAGGTAGTCTCCCCTACTATAGCCAGACGATAGCCGTTCCTTGTATAATTACATAAGCAGGTGTCAACCTGCCTGCAGGCTGCAGCACGCTCCTGGTCCGTCGACTTCAGCTTCAAGCTTCAAATCGACAAAGAGAATCTATTATTAGACTCAAGCTAGCTCTGGCCAGAAGGAAACCTTGGCACGTTGAGTCTGCACTTCTTCTGTAGTTGACCTCTACTAGTCACTCGTTTCGATTCCTATCGACTTTTTATCGCTCCACGCCCATAGTACCTATTATACAAGGAGGCGTCACTAGTCACTGAGTTCTCCTTGCGTTTCGGGTCTCCTTACGAGACGCGGCCTCAGGTGCGTTGCTCTTACCTTTTCATGCCATCCGCTCATCACCTCACTCGCCACAATCTCAGCCTACCCAACACTTTCGATCAATTCCTAATGCCTATATCAATGCATCCTCTGCAAACGCGACAAGTCCCAATACCTGCAGTTCGGCATGTTACCGTTAATACCAACACCAACATCGTTTGTTCCTCTGTCCAAAGTAGTACTCCAATACCCATGACCTACTCCATAAGCATAACCAACTGCACAAATGCGAGTTTAGTCGGTCCGCCTGTGCCCGCGCACTTCTCGCCATTCCCCCTCGTTATCCCAATTTCGAATGCAGTTGATGGCACCTGCAGTACTGGATCCGCTTGGGACCCTAATCGACGAGTCACGGTCCTGCTAGAGGTACTCTGTGCATTGGAGCAGTTAGGATGAACAAGGGTGCTGAAAGGGTCTACAGGCGCCACTTCAGTGGTCGAGTACTTTTGGAAACAGCCATCTTTCAGCGATGGCATCAAGAACGAACAGACTTCCACCAGCCGAGACGATCTTGTGAGATTGAGTACGAGAACATCAGCGTTGGGTTCTCTACTCATAGTTCGCCAAAAGCTTTTGTATGACCTACTTCGCAACTTACATAAATAAGTACCACGACAAAATCTGGAATAAATACAAGGAATTCTGCTGCTGCCTGCATAGTACTACCCGCCCATCGCAAATCAATCATATCGAGCATCTCCTGCGCTACACACTACTGCTAGTTGACACGTGGACACGCTCCTCAAAAGCGATTGAAGTCATAGCAGTTGCTGTATCAGAGTTTGCCACGAGCTCAGCGTGATATTCTCGAACACCAAGGATGAGGCGTGGTCCCAGCACAAACGTCTGCACGATCTGGCATATTTCAATGAGACAATTATAAATCTGCGTGTCCAGGGAATATATGTCCTATAGAAATCTTGAATCATGGTCGCACGTAGAGGTCGGTGACAGATCAACATACCGCCAAGAGTGTTGGAGAGAATAAAACAATATGGAAACAAGAAATAGCCAGAAAACTAGCACGTGCAACACTTCAGCGGAACAAGAGAACCACGTTCACATTATGAGCTCACCTCGCAAAGTAACTCACATGAGTTTTCATTAACACTGTGAAACAGTCCCCGATAATACCACTTGTTGAGTGTCGTCGCAGTTCACGGAAGTGTTTTACAGCACTCCACACCGCGAGGCACAGTGCAACGACCTCTCATACAGTGCCAAGTATCCAAGTCATGGAAGCCAGAAATATGGAATCTCCCGATCCGTCGATCGTGCACTGATAGGTGCCGGAGAGAATGTATTCCTCTGGTATTTGTCAATGAGCCTGATGCACTTGAACATTTCATACATAATTAAAGCTTACCCCCTGAAATATGTATCGTCGTTATTGCGATCATCACTGCGTTGGCGATTGTGATGGCCAGAAAGCTGACAACGAGAAATATCAGCACTTTTCTGGATCGCTGATACATGGCATGTAACCGAGCAATCATGATGACTTGCAGGAATGTTTCAGTCAAGTCAATATCACAGTGGCGTATAGCTCACCGCCCAGCATTACCTCTACAACGTTACCCGTCCAATCATATACGTCGAATATGACAGGGCCTGACAAATCCAGCAACAATAGTTATCAGCTTCAGAAGATTACAGGGTCGAACAAACTCACAACTGTGGGAGTCGTTATGTTGAATCAATGAATTGCTCGAGAATATCACTCACCCCTGCATGACAGTTCAGTTGTTGGGACGGAAATGGACTCGAGACATCAGTGTGGAATACTCACTGCATCTGTTGTCGAAATTGTTGGAACACTGCCTGTATGCCGCCCGTCATAAGAAAGAAACAGAGCCTTATGCGAGGAGACATACCCAGGATGTACATCCTGATTGTGAGAGATGAGTAATGAGCGCAACATCAATGGCTTAAACCTCCAAACGTACACAGCATATCCGATTCCAGCATAGCGCACCTAGGATAGTCGGCAAAATTTGGACTTGCTAAGCGTATATATTGACAGAAAGGATACATACACCCAGATAGAGAAAGGTCATCAAGGACCAGCGTTGTCTCTGCCGTGAAACAAGTTGTATTTTCACGTCGTTCTCTTGATGTGGAAGTCCGCTCACCCAGATCAGTTCAACCTATAACACAATTCTGAGTGAGTTGGCTGCCCCTAGTAATGGATCGACGTACTTCTTCGTCCAAACGTAAGCACTGAGAATACCATAAGGATATCAGTGGTCATTTCATACTCAGTCTTGCTCACCCCAATCGTACATTATCCCCGGCAGAGGTAGCGACTGTAAAACCGCAGCCAAGGTTAATCGAGTTATCAACGTCGTCATGTGGCTGAATCTCCACAAACCTATAAAATAGCTGTAATCATGCTCGCATTGATGAGCTGGCCACCAAATGGGATCATTCAAGACCTACAGTCATACTATTAGAAGATGGGAGTGAGTGAGCGGAGGAACTTTGTGGATGTATAACGATCGCATTCGTGCTTGATATACCACAATCCAGCGCCTTAGCATTACCAAAGTGAGATTTGAGGGATAAATGGATTCAGCATGAATTCCATTAGGAAGACAATGTGCATCCAGGGATACCGATGGGATCAAGGTAGAAGTTGTTGGTGAGATCGCAAAGCAGCGACTCGCGTGGAATGTTGGAACGCCGCAAAAGATCGGAGAACTCTTCGTGATTTCGCCAGTGCGATCATCGGAGTATTCTTTTGGTAATTGGTATTCTTGGTAGTCGAGTGAGGGGTTCGACCTCGACTCATCAATGACATTAAAACGACGCCCAAGTTGACTGCAGGTAACCTCGTGACAGACATTGTCAATTACGACGCAAAAACCTTTCTTCTAATTATGTACACGCTGATTAGTACAAATGCGACCAAAGTACATACATGCGTCGTATCGAATTCCCTGTCATAAAACACGATGAACGTGTGTAGCGACGAGCTCGGCAGTCTTGCAAAGAAAGTGGGAAGTTGTACAAAGAACTTGAAAGAAGGGGCAAATGGCACGGTTGTCCAAAAGAGGAAGGGGTTGTTGTACAACGAAAGAACGATCAAGTGATGTGAACAGGAACGCTGGCAGTAGGAACGAAAGCGATGACTGCCGGTGATCGTGCACGCTTTGAATGCGAAGTTGATGAATGTATTATGGCTCCAGTTTGGTGGTTCATATGTAAGCAATGGCGTGATCGGATGGATGCAATGATGAATAGATAGATGAAGGTTGTCGACGAGCTTGAGAAGCGAATAGCCGGTTGGGAGAAAGAGAATCAGAGAGAAATCTGCCGTTCATTACATGAAGGAAGAATTTGCTGCATCCGTAAAAAATTCCGTGCCAGAGAGATGCAGCGATCGATATTGATGAGATCAAGAAACCGAAAGATAGGGAATGTGAACTGCGCGTTTCCTGAGATGAGCGAGAGCGACAAGCAACCGCTTAAAGAGGAGAACGAAGGAGTGCGCAAGCGTGCATTATCTTGCATGATGTCGAACGAAGGAGCGAGTTTGTGGGCGTCCTAAGAAAGAAGGAATGAAATATGGATTGTCAGCATACACAAGGTGAGGGACATTCAAGATATACCTTTGACAATTGGCAAACAAAAAACACCGCTCAGGCCTCAGGAGTGAAGGCGTGGGTGATGAGACAGGCGGAAGAGATATTAAGAGGGAGTTTCAAGTGGGGTGGAGGCGAACAGGACAAACAGAAGATAAACGGAAACAAGGTACTGAAACCAGGTCAGTTTTCAAACAGACGACAGGAAGAGACGATTTGAAAATATGAGACGCAATTGTACATGCTATGCATGAGAAGGAGTCTGTAGAGTAGAAGAAAAAAAGAACCTGTTGAAAGACACGGTCTGATGACTGAAACAAAGGAATAAGTGGAGCAGAGGAATAAACGGGAGTGCAGAACGTCGAGTTGGAATTGGAGAAATCCGAATGTAGGTCTGTAATGCATTGCGCGTTGATAAACTAGGTATCGAGGGAGCATGTTAACGTCCTGTTGGACGACGCAGGTGAGTAGGGTGCCGGTGCAGATGGTGTACAGTATGCTCGTGTGGTTACAGGGCCCGCCTGATTTCAAATTATCAGCAGCACGCGCAATCTTGTCAAGAAGGTCACTTGGGTGAAAAAGACTCGGATGAGAACCGGTAGCGCGTCCATTTTGGGTCGATCACCCCTAGTATCTTGCTCCTTGGCGTCGTTTCTGTTTGCTTTTGAACTCCGCCATTATGGACTCACTCACGCGGTTTGCCCACTATCTCGCGAAACGAATATAACGATGTTTTCATTCGGGCACGTCATGAGTACTTGAGTACCAACTCGATCGTTACCCAGTCGTGCCTGCCAAATCTTCAAGCTGATCAGCTGTTTCATTTTGCATTCGATTACCAGCTGCCATACCCTTGCACACTTGGGTGTGTCGAACATGGGTTATCAACGTTAACCACTATGTAAGATTGGCCCAACGCAGATTTCAGATTCGCAGGTCCACTAGCCAACCTTGGTGTGTCACTTTCACTGATATAACCAATCATAACAAATATCGTATTTGTGCCTACTTCAGCTTTATTCAGCCTCCCCTTTTCACCCTACTGGCGTCTCATCCTACTGCTCATTTTACCCCACTCAACATACCCTCAACTTTCCTTGCCATTTGCTTCAACGCACCATCAGCCAGCATATAAGGCCTGAGGCCTGAAGGTGGGCAACTCCACACGTCCTTGGTATTCATTTCATGAGATTCTTGCTATGAGCGGACATAATAACAAAGTTCCTTCCTCCCTCACACTCGCAGGACTCGACGCGTCTGCCAACGTCGACTCCAAGAGACATCGCATGTCAGCCGTCCAAGTGTTATCATCCGACAATTCTGTAGCATGAAGCGATACTGTGACCTTGTAAAGACTTCCACAGAGACTTGCGAACGTGTTTACAATACTCATTGTTCCTTTGCAGATCGCCGTATGTTGTAGTTCATTCTTAGATTTAGGAATGTTTGATGCATATACGCAGGCCACACACGATTTACTAAACATCCAACAGGTAAGATTGTCTCTGACATGGCCGATGCGGTAGGGAACTTACACTTCGTCCTAGGCCAGTATCTGGCTGACCATTCTGACTGTGTCTTCACTCTCATCAACCTGGTGTAGGCCCGTTTTCAATGCCACATCTACAAGGATGCTCACAATTTGACTCTATTACATTTCTATGCTGCAATGCCTTCGCACTGCATTTCAACTTTGCAGTGTTACCCAGACCATCCCGTATCTCTGTCATCTCACCGAAGCGTTGATTTGGCGCTACAACAAAAAATGCACCGTCCCTGACATCCGCGAAGCCGCCCAACATGTATTTACGAACGTAGAGCGAACTTCACATACAAACACCACTACATGAACATATTTCCTTTAATATGAGCAGCATTCATGCCATCGACGAACTGCAGCTTGACCCTCTCGCCACTAGTACGCCAGTGAGTATATGTGACTCCTTCGACTTTAAGATTTTGAGCAAATGCTATTGTCTAATCGTTCTTCTTACTGCTTTGTGTGTTGTACACCGCGAAGTATCAGTTTTTGTCTAATGACACTTGGAAAGTAGTTCCGAGTCGGACCATCCAGTATACTCGCTAGTTTCTCTCTTTTCGCCCTCATCCCAATTTCAATGTTGATGGCATTGGAGCATTGGATTCACTTGGCTTTAATGAAGATGAAGCAGGCTGATCAACTAGCCAAAGTTCTGCTAGAGCTACTCAGTGCATAACCCTGGAGAAGCTTGGATGAACGGTAGTGCTGAAAAGGTCCACAGGTACCACTTGAATGGTCGAGTAATTCTCCAAATTCCTGGAAACAGGCATCTTCCAGCAATGGCAATAGGAGCGAACAGACTTCCACCAGCCGCTACGATCTTGACAAGGCTAGTGAGATCAAGCGCATGAACCTCAGCGTCGGAGAGAGACCCCTACTCATAGTTCACCAAAAGCTCTTTACAATCCAGCGCTTACATCGCCCAACTGAGACTTGACTCGGATGATAACTGATTGATAGAAGTATGTGAATTCCAGTAGAAAGACAATGTGCATCCAGGGAAACCGATTGGATCAAGTTAGAAGCTGTTGGTGAAATCGCAAAGCAGTGACTCACACAGCATATTTGAATGCTGTAGAAGATCGATCAGAGAACAGTTTGTGATTTTGACAACGTGCTATGTAGTGCGATATTCGGGGCGTTCTTGGCATTGCTATGTTTTGTCCAACAAAGACACTGCCATAGAAGATCATAGATCTAACACAGGTTTGAACAACGCCCAAGTACTTGTGAAGACGTTTTCTCTCAACGTTAGCAATGTTCTTCCTTGAAATTCACTCTACTCACTCGATGACGATGCTCAGTCACAACACTGAGCGAAAATCCACAACCTTTTTCTAATTCATGTGTGCACACATAAAATGCGACCACAAGTATATACATGTGTCGTATCCAGCTTCCTGTCATAGAATATCATCAACAGGTGAGGCGACGAGGGCAGTCGTACTGAATTGAAAGAAGTGGGAGGTCGTATAAGTCGGAATGGGGCGTCTGGGACGCGATGAACAGAAAAGTCAGAAGTTTTGAACAGACCACCTTCAGCATCCACGTGCATGTCACAGGAACTTGCGAGGGCTACAGTGGATGGCCGGCTCAGAGAAGACGAACACAGATGTTGAAACAGAAGTGCCGAACATTGAGTTGAAATTCGAGGACGCAGAAATATGGCTCTGGGAAGCGTTGATGAGCTAGGTGACGAAGGAGCAAGGAATGTTCCCAATTGGTGGAAAGTGTGCTCATCTCGATGAGAAAGGCCTTGGAAACGAATAGTAGTAAGACAAGTGGGTGGTAGGGGAGGGAAAACATACCGAGAAATGTTCTCCTTATAATTAATTTATGAAATTGATGCTACTCTTGTACATATCATGTCGAGCAGCGTCGTGATGATGGAAAGGAGTGCCTTTGGCACTGGGCAGGAATGATACCGCTGACTTTGAACTCCGATTTTAGTTCCAGAACGTCATCTCAGGGAACCCGCTCGATCGTTGCGTAGCCATATCTTGAATATATCGGCCAAAGCTCAGCGCTCGCCAGCGCCAACACAAGTGATTGGGTATCTCATCTTGCATTCGATCAGCTGCCCATACTCCTGCACACTGCGACGGCACATTTACGTGTAAGAGGTGTAAAGCCTTTATTGGGGCACTCATTCCCAAGATTGTTATGTCCTCGTGTCCATTATCACTGAAAGGAAAACGGAAGGAAGGATACATACTATTTTAAGAAATCAAGTTTGAAGGGGTTCGCTGAGCAAGCAGGTTTCGAAAATCGAAATAAGCGCACCGTAGTTGTCAACATGCCGCTGTCTGCGCTCTGGAGTTGTTACGCTCGTCAAAAGCAGACATCGTATATTGGTCCTAACAACCAATATACTCGTCGGCATCCTCCTCATTCCTTCACCTTCCTTTCTTTTCCTTAGATTACTTAAGACACGATACCCTACAGTATATAAAGCCTCGTTTACTTACTGGCAGGGTAGTTGATCCTTTCCCCACCGAATACCATTTAGTTCGGACAGTTCTCCCTCGTTCGAAACCTAAGTTTATTCACTCGAAGTCAACTCTTACCGTGTGAACACTTTACAAGTGCCACATATTTTGAACTTCCTTAAATCTAAATCTACCTCTATACTACGGTTGCTGCCCTCAAAGGACTGATCACCCTTTGAAACGACGACCCTTCTCACTACCCCCTATCACCCAACAACTTCCCCCAACAATGTTGACAAAAGAAAATGTACCTGGTACCTATCTGCTTGGCTCCCTGACCCCAACAGGCGGGTTGAGCCTCGATGCGGGCGCTCTCCACCTCGGTGTTGAGAGCGCATGGACTCGCAATGAGTTGATCATTGCTGGAGCCGAGAGATCGAGCAGTAGGGGGGCTGAACCCCCGACTATTGACCAACTCTCCACAGATTCGTGGATGGGTGCTCTGGGAGCCCCATCCAAAGCAAGCACCCTGTCCTTGAAGGGTGGCAAAAATGCAGGCATCACACCTGATGATGGCAAGGGCTCTGCCGCCATGAGCATTAGCCCGTTGCTAGGCAGTGTGGACGGGTTGCACACCTCCCACATCAAGCCTCACATACATAGAAATGTAAAATTTAACGCCATCAATGACAATATCAGCTAGTTTGACTTACCTAACGACGGTGACCTCGGTGAAGTCCCTGAGTTCCCAGTACTGAACCCAATAGTGTCAGTCCCCTCTACTCCCAGGATTCCCGCTGAGTTAAAGGGAAAGGGTATTGACCCAGCTGAAATTCCCCACAACAAGGGTAACAATGACCTTGACCCTAATGACTGGTTCAATCAGTGGTCTGACCTGGATGAACAAGTAGCTAAGCTAAGCAAACCTGGCCCAGGAGAATTGGAAGATTCCCTCCAAGGGCTTTGGGACGATAACAACAGGTGTGAATCAGTCCATGTCCAGAACCTAGCCTTATGACGGTTCCACAAGGTGGCTAAAGAGGATATAAAAGAGCACCTGTCGCGAATCGACATGCTCCAAGAACAAGTCCGTGGGCTAGAAAAGCTCGTGATCCAGAATCAGTTGCGGGAAGACGAAGCCCGTCAATGAGTGACAGATACTCACTCTGCCCCAACTACAAGCGGACCCCAACCTGCTGCTCCTCCTGAACCAATTAAGCCTGGAAAGACCAAGACCTTGACGAAGGTCAGAGGAGACTCTCCAAGAGCGAAAACCATAGAGAGCTCTCGGTTCCAATGAGCCTCCTCTGTACTGCCTACCGGTAGCTCCGTTAAACGCGCCATGATGGGAACTTCTCCCACAGACACTTACCCTAGTGACTTGGATTCTTCGTCCTCAGATGAAGACGAGCTTTTGTCCACTGAATCTGAAAATGATCAGTTGAATAAGGGAGGTACTAAGAAATCCGCGACCCCGTCCAGGCCCAACATACCGGAAGAAGACTATGGAGTCGACTTCTTATGTATCGTTAGAACCTGATTTGGATCATGATAGTGACTCACCCAAAACAAAACGAGCCAAATGTGTTGCTCGGCGTGACTATCGAGCTAAACTGAACCTCTTAAAGTACCAGCAGAGCTTCATTAAAAACGAGCCTCCATTCACATACAATGGAGAGGCGAATGCTACTACTTTTAAGAAATGGGTTAGAGAAGTCCGCGAATGGAAAGACTGAGCTAGACTGACCACGGCACAATCCCTCCGTATGATAGGCAAGTACCTGGGAGGTCAACCTTACAGATTCTTCGAGAGAGACATCCTTGACCTTAAGAAAGGGTACTCCCTAACGGAGTTCTTCGAACAACTGTTCGACTACATATTCCCGCCTGACTTCCGGATGCTGCAATGTCAGAAGTTCTTAGACTGTAGACAGGACGGCAAATTCACTGTCCGAGACTATCTAAGACGCCTGTGAGACCTTGCTGAAACAGCCGGAGACATTGACAAAAGAGAGATAGTGCATCAGTTTTGGACGCACTGCAAACCCTATATCAAAGCGTCCTTAGTAGACAAAGGATATGAACCAAATTCTGTCAGCCTCGATACGATTGAGAAGAAGGCCCTGTGTACCGAGCGCGCTTTCCTAGAGAACTCTCGCGACCCCAACGTATTACTCGCGTTGAACCCCACTGCAGCCGCGGGGATCGCCAGCCAGAGTGCAAGGAATGAAAGGTGACCTAGAAACAACTTCAGACCTCGATGAACTGACATAAGGGAACGTACCTCCTCCATATCAGCTAATGCTGTTCACTCCTCTGGTGACCAACCTGGGAGGACTAGGAGAAGGGACCACCGCGGGACTCAACAACCTGCCCCTCTACGGACATCTGGGAACCCACCTAAGAAAAGTGCTGATGAGATAAAGCGCCTGAGAGACAACGATCAGTGCTTTGAATGTGAGCAGAGAGGACACTTAGCTATAGATTGCCCTAAATGCCATAGGCTGCCTTACAGACCCCAGTCAAAGGTCTCTAACCTCCAAGTACATTCGGTAACTGTGACAGACACAGATATCAGAGCAGCAGCAATAGAAGAAGGCGTCGCCCACGGCCTGTACGGCATGGCTGTCAGCCTAGACGAGCCGTCAGAATTTGATGCTGCAAAGAGGTTAATAGTCATTTCCCGATCTCTGGCTCTCCTGCGCCTCGCAGTACCCCTACCTACAGATGAGCTCCATGACCCCTTGTATGATCCCTATGGGAAGGACCAGGTTTAGCCTATCGATGCACAGAGGCCCAAACACCTTCCTCCTGTCTGATAAACACAACTACGACGATTATGTCGTCTACTTTGAGCAGTTGTGTGACCCTACTTTTGACATAGTAGCTTGGTTAATCAATCTCAAACTAACGTTCTGTCAAGACCTAATACGTACCAAGTCTTCCTTCAAACCGACCTGGGGTAGTGTAGTTTGCGACTCCTCGTGGGTATCTTCCTGCATGAAATGTCTAGAGGACATCCCTGTGAGGAAACCCGTGGAGGTCCTGGTTAACTCTGAGGATTGGGACTCTGAGTCAGCATGGGAGACCACAAACAGCGAAGACACTACCAGTGAGTACTCTTCCTGGGAGAAGATTGAGGAGGACGACGTCCCCGTCCTTGTTGATTATGAGACGTCCGACAGTGAGGACGTCATTGACACTGCTAGCAACTCCGTGACCGAAGAGGACGGTGACCCTGATGGACCTATGTTCTCGTTTCTGGACCCCAGTGAACTCCTTGAAGCTGAAGAACCGGCTAATGAGCTGTATTGCGCTGGCAACTCGAAACAAGCCGACCTACCCGATCTTCGATCTCTCCAATGACAGGCTGCTCGTCCTAAAGGCACGATGAGGATATTACCCCTGCTCCATTGTAGTGGTCGTCCACGTGAACGGACGTCCTTGCAGAGCCCTTCTCGACTCCTGGATCCCTGACTGACTTCATCTCAAGTACGGTCGTCGACCAACTAAAATTGAGATACGACTTACTGGAGAAACCCATCCCACTACAACTAGCCGTCTCCGGGTTGAGGAGCGTAGTTAAATCTACAACCACCAGTTGACTTGAAGTACCAGGACATATCAGGACCACGTACCTTCGACATCACAAACTTGGAAGCATATGACGTCATCCTAGGGATGCCGTTCCTATATCAGCATCAAGTGCTGCTGGGATTTAACCCTCCGGAAATCAAGATCTGGAGCATCCTGCCTCTCCCTAATCCGAGGCGCGCAAACTCAAGTCCTTGAGCTCAAGGAATCGAGCCCAGAATCAGACTTGATAATGTCATACAGATGGGAATTGTCAGAGTACGCCAAAGACATCTGTAAGGAAGCCATTGAGACACCGCTTCCACCCTTAAGAGCTATTAACCACGTCATACCTTTAATTGATGATGACCAGGTTTATTCCTGGCGTCAGTCTAAGTGCCCAGAAGCCATGCGCTCACTTTGGAGAGCCAAACACGATGACTATGTGCGAATGGGCCGTTGGGAATTCTTTAGTGGCTCGAACACCGTACCTATGATCATGATGAAGAAAATCACAAAGGATGGCTCACTTAAGTTACGTACCGTCCTCGATACCCGGCAACGGAATAAGAACACCCGGAAATTAGCATCTCCCTTACCTGATATCGAGACGATCCTTCGAAATGTCTCGTTGCACCCATACCTGTTCTCTCCTTGACGGAAAGGACGCATACGAGCAAATCCGGGTCGTACCTGAGGACGTACACAAAACCCTATTTGCTACCCCTGACGGAACAATGATCAGTCATGTAATGCAGATAGGGGATTGTAACGCTGGAGCAACTTACCAGTCACTAATGAACCATATCTTTGGTCCTCATTTAGGAGTATTCATGGACGTGTACCTTGATGACATCGTGATCTACTCTGACACCGCCGAGGATCATGTCAGGCACGTCAAGATTGTTATTGATACCTTGAGAGAAAACCAGTTTTACCTTAGTGAACACAAGTTGCAGTTCTTCAAGACCGAACTCTCCATCCTAGGCCACGTTATAGACGAGGGAGGAATCCGTCTAGACCCACATAAGGTCGATAAGATTGTGAGCTGGAAAACTCCTACCTCGAAAGAGCTCTTGATGCAATTTATCGGCTCGGTAGGGTATCTTGCTTCCGGATGTGAGGGTGTGCGTGTTGACATGCAACACCTCTCCAAAGTTGCGGCTCAAACGACCAAGTGGACCTGGAACCCCACTGATCAGAGAGCCTTCGACCTAGTGAAAGCATGCGTCGAAACGCACCGTAATGTAAGGCGTAAGGCCCTTGACCTCCCTTCTGCTCTAAATGGGATGACACTGGTCAACCTAACCACCGATGCATCTCTCACCGGCGCGAGTGGGGTCCTGTCTCAAGGCAACGACTTGCCAAAGGCGGACATCATCGCCTTCTGGTCCGGGAAATTTAACTCGGCGCAGCAAAACTACCCTGTTCATGAACAGGAACTCTTAGCCATTGTTGAGTCCCTTAAACGATTCCGGCACTTACTCATAGGCTTAAGGTTCAGAATCTTCACCGATCACAAAGGCCTGGAGTGGATTGCCACCCAAAGCAAGCTATCTCCCTAGACAGGCACGCTGGCTTGAAGCTTTGAGTGAGTTCGACTTTGAGGTGATTTACGTACCGGGCGCAGAGAACACCCTGGCAGATGCACTCTCCCGCATGTATAGCAACGAGCCTCACGGCACTGTGAGAGCACTTAGTGAGTATGTTAGCATTGAGGAAGACGACGCACCACAAGCACTTCTCCTAAACTTCGTGACCACCCCTATCTATACTGGAACCCCCTTGTTCCTAGGCGCGACTGAGGCTCGACAGTCTGCTCAGCATTGCTCAAGCCCAGGTCAGCAGTAACCCACTGGGTGGTGTGACTCCACCCGCAAACCAACAGCATAACGTGCGCGCCGCTGATGCCCCAGTCAAACTGCTGAGTGACCTCAAACCAATGTCTGATGGAGACACTGTGCCTCCAGTGTACCTGGACACATATTATCCCCTTGGGGTACCAGAGAGTGCGACCGCGCCAGAGGGCGTGACCTTCTGAACATGTCGCTGAGAACGTCATGAGATCGCTTAAAAAGGACGATGTGAGATCACATACCGCCCGAAGTAACGTGCCAGGAGAGCCTCTCAACAGACCTGTGGCCCACCAACAGATGGTGGGAAGAACTCCTGCACACACCAGTCCTGGGAAAGGACTGGCACCAGGAGAGCCAGGGAAGAAAGTCAAGAGAGTAATCCTGAAGGTTGGAACCCCATCAGCATCACTGGAGGGCGGGAATAGAGCTAGCAAGGAAAACTCACCTCCTAGACCTGCGCTGACCCACCATGTACCTGCTCCAACAACTAGTGCCACACAAGCCGCAGACGGAAAGCCTAGCATAAGTGAATCACACAAACCAAGTCCAAATGCAGTCAACAAGGACCTGCAAGTTCACGTGGCACCTGACGTCAACGAACCAGGTGCAAACATGGACCTACAACGTCACGTGACCACTGACGTCACTGAACCAAAGCAGGACGTTCAACAAAGAAACAACGCTGAAGACCTACTTGAGTGTCCACCTACCCTAACTGACGTTATATCACTCGGTGATCCGTCAACAGATATTCATGCGAGCATTGTTAATAAATACGCCGAGGACCCATTCTTTGCTAAAATCCTTGAGAACCCCGCCGCCTTTAAGAACTTTGAGGTTAGTAACAGCAGGGTCTTCATGAAAGACAAAGGAAAGAGGATTCTATGCATCCCAGATATCCGTCTCGGCGAGCGACGCATCAGAGAGGTGTTAATCTCCCATGCACACTCCATCCTTGCTCACCTTGGACCACACAAGACGCTACTGTACCTTCACAAGATTGTTTGGTGGAAAAGCATTTCCTCGGATGTAGACGCATTCTGTAAGTCATGCCCGACCTGTCAAGTCGCTAAACCCTCAAACCACCTACCATACAGCCTTCTAGAGACCCTAGAAGTTCCCTCACGCCCATGGGAAACTGTGGGTATTGATTTTGTTGGTCTGTTACCCGAGTCCAAAACCCTCAACGGCATTTTCGACATGATTCTGGTCGCCATCGACCACCTCACCTCAATGGTCCACCTGACCCCGACGAAACAGACCTATCACGCTAAAGATATAGCCAAGGTCCTGTTTAACGCTGTGTATAAACTACATGGGATGCCCTTGAACTTAGTAAGTGATGAAGGACGCAACAATGTCAGCCCACGACGCAGTCATTGCTGCCCAGGTGAAGAGCACCTCTAGCGCTAACCAGAAGCGCAGACAATCCCTGTTCGTTGAAGGGGACCTCATCTACCTCTCGACGGAAAACCTATCACTCCCAAAGGGCCATGCTCGTAAGCTCTCACCTAAGTTTATTGGCCCCTTCTGCATCTTCAAAGACTACAAGAACAACTCATTCTTGTTAGATCTACCCTCAGAGCTTAAACAGTGAGGCGTACACCCCGCGTTTCACGCCAACCTCCTTCGCCTCCATGTTCTGAACGACGACAGACACTTCCTGGGTTGCCAACTCCAGCAAATCGCTGATATCGGGATTTTGGAGGACTGGTCAGTCTCCCGAGTCTCGGATCACCACGGTCAAGAAACTGATGCACTTTTTAAAGCGGAATATACCTCTGGCAACCACATTTGGCTGCCCTACCACTCAATCTCACGTCTCGAGGCACTCAGGCAGTACCTTGAGGCCCTCGGGGTACCAGGGATACGCCACTTGCCCAAAAAGACCTTGCCTAACGCCTCAGATATTGCGCTCGCAATGGTTGACTCCTTTGAGGAGGCCCGTAATATTGTAAATTCCTCCGTGGGCCTCTTACTCAAGGATCTGACTGACTCACCCTTCGGATGACTCTCCGATACCCAGGCCTTAAAAGACGCCTGCCCAAGTCATCCTCAATCCCCCTCTTCTCAACCCTTGCCGATGTCACTCCCTACCCCTGATCCTATGATGGTTGATGCTCCCCCCACCCTTAGCGAGGCTGGTGAGCTCCCCAGCTTCACTCGTCACGAGACTTCCTCTCATCAAGGACACGGTGGTTGTTGCCATAGAGGACATTGTGGTCGAGGCCACCCTTCATACCCTGGAGAGTCTAACACGGACACTCTTCAGGCGTTTACCCAGTTCTTCCGAGCTGAGGCACAGGCTAGTAAGCTTCCTGTGTTTGTTAAGCCTAGGCATCATGCTTATCGCAGAAACCCTCATTATTCAGAGGAGTTGGCCACAAGTAAAGAAGCTCATGCCTTTGAACAAAAAGTTCGCGCTGAACGCGCACGCGAACTTTCCCATCGTCAATACTCCCATAGGACTAAGCACTTGACCTTGGATAATCGTGCACCTGGACGCCACCCCTCCCATCATTCTCACCCTGCTCCTCCCAGGGCAAAGAAATCTCCCATACCTCTTCCTGCCACAGCAGCTCAAGTGATCGCCGCTGTAACTGCCAGCCGCACCTGCTTCCCCTCCTGCAACTACGGTACCTACTACTACTGCCCCTATTGACCCTGGGGCTGATATTGACTCACTCATCGCTGAGTCTGAAGCAATGGATCTTGAGGCAGAAGCGCGCCAACACAGATTCACTAATACTGAGGAGATGTTTGGTAGGGTGGTTATCATTAGCTATCTGGTGACAAACTTCCTCACCCTTCTTACCCTTCTAGCGGCCATGAACCTCCAGGCTGCCGCCGCGGCCCAGACCTAGCTCCCTTACTCACTCCACCCATGATAGAGGTCACCTTTAGCTGACCTGGAGGGCGTATGTTACGCTCGTCAAAAGCAGACATCGTATATTGGTCCTAACAACCAATATACTCGTCGGCATCCTCCTCATTCCTTCACCTTCCTTTCTTTTCCTTAGATTACTTAAGACACGATACCCTACAGTATATAAAGCCTCGTTTACTTACTGGCAGGGTAGTTGATCCTTTCCCCACCTGCATACCATTTAGTTCAGACAGTTCTCCCTCGTTCGAAACCTAAGTTTATTCACTCGAAGTCAACTCTTACCGTGTGAACACTTTACAAGTGCCACAGGAGTCTGCAGGCTGCAGCACGCTCCTGGAGCCTCGACTTCAGCTTCAAGCTTCAAATCGACAAAGCGAGTCTATTATTAGACTCAAGCCTGAGCTAGCCGCTCTGGCCAGAAGGAAACCTTGGCACACTTCACACCCATAGTACCTATGGCAGCAAAGAGGCGTCACTAGTCACTGAGTTCTCGTTGCGTTTCGGGTCTCCCTACGAGACTTGGCCTCAGGTGCGTTGCTCTTACCTTTTCATGCCATCCGCTCATCACCTCGCTCGCCGCAATCTCAGCCTACCCAACACTTCAATTCCTAATGCCTATATCAATTCCTCCTCTGAAAATGCGACAAGCCCCAATACCTGCAGTTCGGCATGTTACTGTATATACCAACACCAACATCAGTTTGTTCCTCTGTCCAAAGTAGTACTCCGATACTCGCGACCTACTCCATAAGCATAACCAACTGCACAAATACGAGTTTAGTCGGTCCGTCTGCGCCCGCACATTTCTCGCCATGCCCCTCCTTATCCCAATTTTGAATGCAGTTCATGGCACCTGCAGTACTAGATCCACTTGGGACCCTAATCGATGAGTCACAGTCCTGCTAGAGGTACTCTGTGCATTGGAGCAGTTAGGATGAACAAGGGTGCTGAAAGGGTCTACAGGCGCCACTTCAGTGGTCGAGTACTTTTGGAAACAGCCATCTTTCAGCGATGGCATCAAGAACGAACAGACTTCCACCAGCCGAGACGATCTTGTGAGATTGAGTACGAGAACATCAGCGTTGGGTTCTCTACTCATAGTTCGCCAAAAGCTTTTGTATGACCTACTTCGCAACTTACATAAATAAGTACCACGACAAAAATCTGGAATAAATAAGAACAAACTCTCCCGCTCCCTGTGTCCATTGCAAATCAATCATATCCAGCATTCCCTGTGCTACACATTACTGCTGGTTGTCACATGGACGTGCTCCTGAAAGGCAATTGAAGTCATAGCGGATGCTGTATCAGAGTTGGCCACGAGCTCAGCAGTGATATGCTCGAACACCGAGGATCAGGCGTGGTCCCAGCACAAACAACTGCACGAACTGGAATATCTCGGTGATACCTAGTATAAAGCTGAGTGTCCAGGTAATACATGTCCTATACAAATAATGAATCATGGCTACATGTAAAGGTCGGTGACAGATTCGGCGTACCACTGAGAGTGTTGGAGAGAATAAACTGATCTCGAAGCATGAGATAAGCAGAAAACTGGCATGCGCAAAACTTCAGCAGGACAAGAAAAATACATTCACATTATGAGCTCACCTTGCAAAATAACTCACATGAGTTTGCATTAGCACCACAAAACAGTCTCCGATGATACCACTTGTTGAGTGTCGTCAGCAGTTCATGGAAGCGTTTTATAGCAATCCACACTGCGAGACACAGTGCAACGACCTCCCATACAGTCCCAAGTATCCAAGTCATGGAAATCAGAAATACGGAATCTACTGCATAGGCAATAATGCACTGATAGGTGCCGGAGAGAATGTATTCCTCTGGTATTTGTAATGAGCCTGATGCACTCAAACACTTCATACATAATTGAAGCTTCACCCCCTGAAAACCGTACCATCGTCATTGCGACCATCACTGCGCTGGCGATTGTGATGGCCAGAAAGATGACAACTGAGAAATATCAGCACCTTTCTGGATCGCTGATACATGGCATGTAACCGAGTGATCATGATGACTTGCATGATGCTTCAGTCAAGTCAATATCACGGAGGCGTATAGCTCACCGCCCAGGATTACCTCTACAACGACATTCGTCCAATCATTTATGTCATATATGACAAGGCCTGACAAATCCAGCAACAATAGTTATCAGCTTCAGAAGAACACAGGCTCGAAACAAACTCACAACTGTGGGAGCCATTATGTTGAATCAACGAGTTGGTCGAGAATCTCACTCACCCCTGCATGGCAGTTCAGTTGTTTGGACAGGAATGGAAGGCATGAGTGTGGAATACTCACTGCATCTGTTATCAAAATAGTTGGAACACTGTCTGTATGCCGCCCGTCACAAGAAAGAAACAGAGTCTATACGAGGAGACATACCCAGGATGTACATCCTGATTGTGAGAGATGAGTAATGAGCGCAACATCAACGACTTAAACCTCCAAACATACACAGAAAATCCTATTCCAGCATAGCGCACCTAGGATAGTCAGCAAAGCTTGGACTTGCTAAGGGTAAATATTGCCAGTGAAGGAACATACACCGAGATAGAGAAAGGTCATCAAGGACCAGCATTGTCTCTGCCATGAATAAGTTGTATTTTCACGTTGTTCTTTAATGTGGAAGTCCACTCACCCAGATCAGTTCAACCTATAACACAATTCTAAGGGAGTTGGCTCCCCCAGTAATGGAATCAACGTACTTCTTGTCCAAACGTAAGCACTGAGAATACCATAAAGATATCAGTGGTCATTTCATACTTAGTCTTGCTCACCCCAATCGTACATTACCCCAGCACAGGCAGCGACTGTGAAACGCAGCCAAGGTTAATTGAGTTATCAATGTCGTCATGTGGCTGAATCTCCACAAACCTACAAAATAGCTGCTAATCATGCTCGCATTGATGTATGGCCACCAAATGGGATCATTCGAGACTACAGTCATACTATTAGAAGATGGGAGTGAGTGAGCGGGGGAACTTTGTGGATGTATAACGATTGCATTCGTGCTTGATATACCACAATCCAGCGCTTACATTGCCAAAGTGAGATTTGAGGGATGATATCTGATTGATTGAAGTAAGTATTTCAGCATGAATTCCAGTAGAAAGACAAGGTGCATCCAGGGATACCGATGGGATCAAGGTAGAAGTTGTTGGTGAGATCGTAAAGCAGGGACTCGCGTGGAATGTTTGAATGCCGCAAAAGATCGAAGAACTCTTCATCATTTCGGCAACCTGGCAGTGTGATCTTCGAAGTATTCTTTTGGTAATTGGTATTCTTGGTACAGTTGAATGAGGGGTTCGACCTCGGCTCATCGATATCAATGACATTAAAATGGCGCCCAAGTTGACTGGTAACCTCGTGGCTGACATGGTCAATTACGACGCGAACAGGGTCCACAACCTTTCTTCTAATTCATGTACATGCTGATTAGTACTAATGCGACCAAAGTACATACATGCGTCGTATCCAATTCCCTGTTATAAAACACAATCAATGTGTGTAACAACGAGAGCAGTCATGCAAAGAAAGTGGGAAGTTGTACAAAGGGGGGAAAGGCGGGTTTAAACAAAAGAGGAAGTGGTTGCTGTACAAAGAAAGAACAATCAAGTGATGTGAACAGGCATGGAGGCAGTGGAGCGAAAGCGATGATGAATGGGCGGTGATGGTAAACACTTTGAATGCGAATGAATGTGTGATGGTTCCAGTTTGGTGGTTCATATGCAAGCAATGACGGGATCAGATGGATGCACTGCTGAATAGATAGATGAAGGTTGTCGACGAGCTTGAGGAGCGAATAGCCGGTTGGGAGAGAGAGAATCAGAGAGAAATCTGCCGTTCATTACATGACAGAAGAATTTCCTGCATCCGTAAAATATTCTGCGCCAGAAGGTGCAGCGATCGATATTGATGAGATCAAGAAACTGAAAGATAGTGAATGTGAACTGCACATTTCATGGGACAAGCGAGAGTGACAAGTAACCGCTTGAAGAGGAGAACAAAGGAGTGTGCAAGCGTGCATTATCATGCATGATGTCAAACAAACGAGTGAGTTTGTGGGCGTTCTAAGAAATAAGGAATGAAATATGAATTGTCAGCATACACAAGGTGAGGGGCATTCAAGATATACCTTTGACGATTAGCAAACAACAAACACCGCTCAGGCCTCAGGAGTGAAGGTGTGGGTGATGAGACAGGCTCATGAGATAGGAGAGAGTTCCAAGTGGGGTGGAGGCGAACAGGACAAACAGAAAAAAAAACGGCAACAAAGTACTGAAACCAGGTCAGTTTTCAAAAGACGACAGGAAGAGAAGATTTGAAAATATGAGACGTAACTGTACATGTTATGAGAACGAGTCCATAGAGTAGAAGAACAAAAGAACCTGTTGAAAGACACGGTCTGATAACTAAAACAAAGGAATAAGTGGAGCAGAGGGAGAAACAGGAGTACAGAATGTCGAGTTGGAATCGGAAAACTTCGAATATGGGTCTGTAATGCATTGAGCGTTGATAAACTAAGTATTGAGGGAGCATGTTAACGTCCTGTTGGATGACGCAGGTGAGTAGTGTGCTGGTGCAGATGGTGTTAGTGTTGTTGGCAAAACTGGTTGTACCCGGTCCTCGGCAGAACTCACGCGAAAGGGGGGTGGCAAAACTTGGTACAACTCCAGGATATCCAAGACTCGTGGAGATGTAATTTAGCTCTCTGATAACATAGTTTGAAATTCAAGAGAACATGCAAAATGACGTCCCTAAAGTAAGATGGTGCATGCTGGAGGGCATCACTGATCAACAACAATTTCGAGCGCCTGGAACAAGTTGACAACAGCTCGCATTGTTACTATTAGTGGTACTCAAAATAACTTTCAAAACTTTTTGGAAACTCGCCTAGAGCACGGCTAAACCTTCCAACACCGGCTAAAGGTGTCAAGAAACTCAGTTGGAATAACGTCCAACAGCTGCGGCACACACGGCATAACATAGCGGACTTCGAAACACTTAGGAGATTTCAATGGACTAAGGACAAAACAAATATATTCGTAGCTAGTGAATGCGCTGACATGTAATCGAATATTGACGGAAGCAAGTAAGAAATGAATGGCGGGAACGAGTGCTCTCCATCCAGTCTGCCCACCTGCTCAGACTGCCCTCCCGCTCAGCCTACCCTCCCGCTCGGACTGCCCTGCCACTCAGACTGCCCTCCCATTCCCAGAATATTGACCATGAATAACGAAGGTGGTGGGAATGTTAAGCGGCAGTAATGTGCTGATAGCGAGGTGGGTATTGGTGAGATAAGGCATCCAAGCGCTGATAACGATGGCAGTCCACAGGCCAAGCCCTGTTGGGGGGCCGAACAATGGTGAGACTTGGGCTGTGAAAGTGCCGCGCACTGGGGAGATGAGAGGCCTGTGGGTGTGAGTGATCTCAGAAGTGTTGATTGCAGGAAAAAACCTGGAAGTAGGGGGAGTGCAAGACCTGCAGCATCTGCAGCAGAAAAATTCCTAGGAGTAGTTTGGGGTGTGAGATGGGCTGAGATTGCCATTCGACGAAGGTTTGGCGGATGTCAGCAATGGTGAAGGTCAACAAGGTCAGCACGCCGATAGTGGGGGATATTAAAACTCAGATTAAAACTCTGACAAATCAATTGCGAGATCGGACGAGCTGATAAGAGATTACACTGCGAATTCCCCACCACCATGCCTCGTCAATCCACACGTAAAGACATCTTGAATGCTGTTGATCAGGCTGCACTTTCATTAGCTAAGCTGCAGTATCATGATATCCTCAATGACTGGTCAGACTTGGATTCTGATACCAACTGGACTCAGACTCGGACTCACTTTCTACTTCAGATGATGATGATTCTATCAATCTGTCTTTTAGCTCCTCATCCCCCCTCTCCCCTATGACAGGGATTTCAGATTCTTCCAGTGATGAATCCGATAATATTGCTACACCTTACGACAGGCTCCAAGACACCATTGCCACTCTTTGTGATGAGGTCAAGATGGCACGTGTACTCCATAAGCCTGATGAGCCTCCTCCACGAGCACCCCAGCTTCATATGCTAGTTCACCATGAGGAACACTGCCCTCACTTATGTCAGCAGAAACTTCGTGTCGAACCAGAGATCTTTGATGATATCCTCGATCATATCTCTAATCACCCTATCTTCCAGAACCAGTCTAACAATCCCCAGCTCCCCGTCTCCATCCAGCTTGCCATTTTTCTGAATTGTGCAGGCCACTATGACAATGCTATTACTCTCGAGGATGTTGCTCAATGGGCAGGTGTGAGTGTTGGGTCAGTGGTCAATTGCACTAATCGTGTGATGGTCGCGGTGCTTGATGCCCATGATCAGTTCATCTGCTTCCCAGCAGGTGACTCTGAGGATAGTGACCTAGCTCAGAAATTTGCTGAGTCACGTACTTGTCCGGAGTGGAGAGGTGGTTTTCTAGCCATTGATGGCTCAACCATGGATCTGTTCACAAAACATGGATCTGTTCACAAAACATGGTTATTTTGGTGAGACATTTTATGATAGGAAGTCTAAGTATTCCCTTGGCTGTCAGGTTTTTTTTTTTCATCTTCATGTGCAAAAATTAATTTAATTCTATTAATTCTAGGCAGTCATTTTGCCCCACAACCTCCTGATTGTCAACTACTCTCTTGGTCATCCTGGGAGTGTCCACAATGCATTTGCTTTTCAATCTACTTGCCTCTATGAAGAGCATGCTGATCTTCTGCCTGATGGTCATTGGGTTTGGGCAGACAGTGCCTATCCATTGGAACCATGGTGTATCGCCCCTTTCAAGAAGCCTCGCAATGGACAGCTGACAAAGAACCAGAAGACATTTAATTATCACCTCTCTAAGGTATTTATTTTATTTTATTTTGGTGGTTTCAATTGATTTATATTTATTTAGATTCGTGTTCATGTTGAACACACATTTGCTGTTTTGAAGGGACGGTTCCAGTCCCTCCAAGAGCTCCAGTTCAGGATTCAGGGAGAGAAAGACCTTGATTTTGCTGTGCAGTGGATCAAGTGTTGTATCATCCTGCACAACATGATCATCTGCTTTGAAACCGAGCATCACAAACAGGATGGAACATACGAGAGTTCTCTAAAGTGGGCCTGTGTAGAGGGTGAAGATTTCATTGCTCAAGAGTTTGAGGCCCCAGATGGTGATGAGGCAGTTGGTGACAGGACTTATGAGGGCACTCCAGGTCAGGCTACACGTGCAAGGCTGATGGATGAGCTCTTTGACAGTCCTCAATCTAATGCACAATGTAGGGCAGGATAAGGATCATATTAGCATGTACTACTTGACATGTGCTACTACCAAATGTACAACATAAATATGTACCTATGTAACACCAACATGTACCTATGTAACATCAACTTGAATCAGAGCATTACCAATGAAGGAAGGAATGAGAACATGAAAAACATACATGTAACAACAACAAAACGACGACACAAAATGACAATGACGAAATGATGACACGACACGACAAGACGCTGACTCGACGAAACAACGACATGACGACAGCACAAAAACGAAACATATGATGGTAAGTACAAATGAAAAAAAAATGATAGTGAGAACACGCAACAGCAACAGCAAACAAAGTGAGACAACAACAACGATGACAAACGAATCACACAGCTCCATCTGATGCCGGGGTCCTGTTGCCCTGCGTCATTTGATGGAACTGAATCTCGAGCTGGAGGGTCTCGGCCTCCTTGTTGAGCACCAACGAATGTGCTTCATGCACTCGAATATCCGTCTTGCGAAGCCGAATCTCGGCGTCTTGCTTCTCCTGCAGACATTGATGGGAGACAGTGGCTTGGGAGGCCTCATGCTCGCAGGCGCCGCGAAGCCATTCATATTTCTTCGAGTCGCGATTGTGTTCGCTCTTCACATCGAGCTTTGCAAGGAAGCATTGATACTTGTTGCCGTGGAGTGACATAGTGTCGGAATGTAAGCTCTCAATCTCGTCCTGAATGTGGTCCACCTCCTGCAAAATGTCCGACTTTGCTTTCTTCTTCTTCGAGCCCCCTGCACTGTTTGGCAGGGAGGTCTGTGGGGTAGGTGACATACAGTAATCTGACGAGGGGGTAGAGTTGCAAGTTGTTGACGAGGGTGTCGAGATGCTGCGGGAAATTTCCGACAACGGTTTGCGTCGCCCCCCACAGCTGGATGGCCTCTGTGTGCCAAACGCCGTACGACTGTCGTAAAACAACGTCGCCGACTTTGAGGGCATTTCAAATGGGTGGGGGGGAGGGAGGAGGAGATGGGGATGTTGGGAGCTGGCGTTTCTTCCCCATGGCTCAGGAAGGGCTCTCAAGAGCACCCCCGTCATGGTCCATCATCTCATCACCATCGAGATGTTCTAGTGCATTTCTGAGGGGCACGGAAAATGGGCCCGCACCCTCTGAATACAAGTCGTCGTCGTCACCAGGTTCAAAATCATCGCGGATATCAACATCAGGGGAATTAAATAGTCCGGGAAGGTGGAGGGGAGGACGAGGGGAGGGTACCAGGGTATGTATTTGGGGGGGGGGAATGCATTGGGGGACGGAAATTCATTAGGGGCTGGATATGCGTTAGGGGGCAGATATGCACCAGGGGGCAGGCCAGGTGTTCTGGGAAGCCTCTCAGGAACGTTCGCATTCGACAGCTTGTTGATGGATGAGGTTGGTGGAGGATATGCGGAGGGGGGTAGATATGCAGGAGGGGGGAAGGCTAGACGTTCTGGGACGCCTCATGGGAACGTTCGCATTCGATGGCTCGTTGACGGATGAGGTCGGTGGATATGTGGAGGGGGGCAGATATGTGTTGGGGGGCGGACACACATTGGGGGGGCGGGCACATGTTGGGGGGCGGATATCTGCGGGAGGACTGAGCAGCCAGGTATGGAGGAACCAGCCCCAGCAGTGGCGCCAAATTGAGTGAGGGACCAGTCCCTGCCATGCGGTTGGACAAGTGAGTACAGCGCACCAGCGTGATCAATGCCCGGCTGAGATGAGTAAGTCTTTGCCGCCATGGAGGGATTGTTATGCCAGATGGAATCAAGATCTGAGTACCACGGAAAGTCCGCATGAACAACTTCTACAAAAATCAATCAGCCGCAGACCAAAAATAAGGCATGAGGGACTCACCTAAGAGATTTTGTGCAGACTGCCCATCAAGCGGCATGACACCAGTGCCCGTGGCATTGAACTTGGCCTTGTGCCTCTCTCGACTGAGCCTCGCAATACAGATGACCTTCTCACTGGTCTAGAGAGTATCTCACCTGATGACATTGCCGCTGAATTTGCAGCTCTCGAAGAGTTGAAAAGGACTGAAGAAGTTCAGAGCATTAATGAAGTTGAAGTTCTCATGGGAAATGCTTTTGATTTTGACAAGTTGGATCCTGTTGGATTGGGTCGAACAACCACAGACTGTTCTAGATGAGATTGAGGTGGTTAATTACAATGGCGAGGATGACAACTGGGATGAGGCAACATTAATATTGATAGTGCTGCTCAATTCTAAAATGTCGTTGTCAATGTCAACTTGACCTTACGGCCAACCTCTCGTAAATTACTCACGTGGACCTAAACCTTTCCTTATTTGGCCACCTCCGTGTCAGTTAGACCTTCGCATGGGAGATGTTCTACTACACCTTGTCGCAGAGTATCCTTGTTCTAATCCTCGCTGTTAGAGACTTAGAGCCCAACTTGAAGTTAGCTACCTAAACCTTTCCATGCAGTAGTAATAGTAGTAGTATTCCTAAACCTTTTCATATTTATTGCTAAATGTCCTCCTAAACCTTTTATTCATAATACTTGTAGTCTACTAGGTATCTGTTCTGCTCGGGCAAATTTTGAGTGGTTTAAGCATTTTGCACGCAGTATTTTTGGTACTAATGAGACATGTTGAACTGGAATATTCAAAGACTTTGATTTAGGGAAAGGTTTAGAAATTATGGAGCAATACTACATGGAAAGGTTTAGGTAGCTAACTTCAAGTTGGGCTCTGAGTCTCTGTCAGCGAGGATTAGAACGAGGATACTCTGCGACAAGGTGTAGTAGAACGTCTCCCATGCGAAGGTCTAACCGACACGGAGGTGGCCAAATAAGGAAAGGTTTATGTCTGCATGAGTAATTTATGAGAGGTTGGCCGTAAGGTCAAGTCGACATTGACAACTGACATTTTAGAATTGAGCAGCACTGATGTCATCATTAGGAATGTCATACATATAGTCTACATAACCTAGCTAAGCGCCTAGAGTTTTGCCGAGTTTTGCCACCCTGGCAAAACAACCGGTTTTGCGAGTTTTGCCCCCCACACTAGATGGTGTACAGTATGCTCATGTGGTTACAGAAAGACCATCTGATTTCAAATTATCAACAACACTGTGCAATCTTGTCAAGAAGCTTGGTGAAAAAGACTCGGATAAGGTCCGCGCATTTTGGGTCGATTACTTTACAAAAACAAGTCACCTAGTATAGCCAGGCGATTGCCGTTCCTTATACAATAAATTCCTCCTTGGTGTCATTTCTGTTTGCTTTCGAACTCCGCCATCATGAACGCAAACAGGTTTGCTCAGCTATTCAAATTCTATCTCAGGCTGAAGGCGAAACGAATATAATGATGTTTCCATTTGGGCACATCAAATGCTTCAGTGCTATGATCACCAACTCGATCATTGCTCAAGCGCTCATACAAGTCGTGCCTACCGCCCTCAAGCTGATCAGTTGTTTCATTTTGCACTTAACGACTAGCAGCTGCTCATATTCCTCCACACTCACTGTGGAAATGAGATTTTAACCCTAATGTAACCAGAGGGTGTTTAGGTGCATAACCCAATGTGGTACAGACATAAGACCTTTTCCAGACTCAAACTCG